ACTTTCTCTTTGTTCTCTCTGTCTCTGTCTCTGTCTCTGTCTCTGTCTCTCTCTCTCTCTCCCTCCCTTCCTCCCTCCCTCCCTCCCCCCTCCCTCTCTCTCTCTCTCTCTCTCTCTCTCTCTCTCTCTCTCTCTCTCTCTCTCTCTCTCTCTCTCTCTCTCTCTCTCTCTCTCTCTCTCTCTCTCTCTCTCTCTCTCTCTCTCTCTCTCCCCTCTCTCTCTCCCCTCTCTCCCTTTCTTCCAGAGGGTTTTGGTAACTACACTAGGATTGATTATGGCACTGGTCACGAGGCAAAGTTTATGGCATTTCTGTGCTGTTTGATGCAGATCCGTGCCATACCATTGGAAGACAAAGAAGCTGTTGTACTGAGGATAGCAGTAAAGTGAGAAAGAGGAAGAGGGAGGAAGAGAGAGGGGGAGGGAGAGAGAGGGGGAGGGAGAGAGAGAGAGAGGAAGTTAAGGAGAAAGGAAAAGAAAGGAAAGTGGGTGAAAAAATTAGCATAATTAATGAGGGGCAGGCATCTCAGCTGTGGTTTTTACATGTACATGTACATTAGCTGTGTGTGTGTCTTTCATTTTCTGCTTCCTTTTCATTTGGTTGTTGTACTTTCCCTTCCTAACCTCAATCTCTTATGGTGACTCCCTCCTTTAATAATTATTTTTAATTATATCACATCTTTATCTCTCTCTTGTCTCTCTCTCTCTCCAGGTACCTTGATTTAATGCGCAAAATTCAAAAGGTCTATCGATTAGAGCCAGCTGGCAGCCATGGAGTATGGGGACTGGACGATTATCAGTTTATACCTTTTATATGGGGAGCAGCCCAACTTATTGGTGAGGAGAGAGAGAGAGAGAGAGAGAGAGAGAGAGAGAGAGAGAGAGAGAGAGAGAGAGAGAGAGAGAGAGACTATCCTGTAATTATCACTATGCGTAATTTGATGCTTCCACACCCAAATATATCAAATATCCACGATTTCCAAATAAGGCAACCGCCCGCTATCTAATTAAACATGTGGGCGTTAGTGTGGGTGTGTTTAAGGAATGCAATGCCGTGTCCTTTGATTGCAGACTGTATGTCTAGGGTATAATTGCCCTAGTGAATGTCTCCCAGTCTGTCTATGTGACTCTGTCTCTCTCAAATATGCCAATAAATATTTTGGTGTGTTGCCTGGTTAATGATTCACTTCTAATGGACAGCATTCTGGCGACACCACTATAATAATATATAATATATAATAATATATAATATATAATACTGCACTATAATAATCATCTCCTGTATGTATTAAATCATCTCTGTATTAAAGATATTTTTTAAATATAATTTTTTTTAAAGATTAAAGGTGCTTTTAAAGGATCTGTACTGTACATGTACTATGCATGCGTATAGTCTGGCCACTAAAACTACATGTAACTGCAAAAGATTTTATTATATTATATAATCGGATTGTAAATACATTATTGTTTTGTGAGCTGATTTTTGAGCAATGAAACATTCAAATTGATAGCCCATACAACTTTTTGTATTTTTTAATGCATGATTACAAGTGATTGCACGAACTTTTTTTGATATTATTCCATAAAAGATGCTGTTTTTATGGCCATAATTTTAGCTAACTACATGTATTTATATAAAGGAAACTTACAGTCTTACATGTCATTAAAGTTCTAAAGCTGAAGCCTAATGTGTACATGCTTATACATGTGCTTTTCTGATATCCTTGCATAAAAGATTCTGTTGTTTTATGAGGATATAAACTACACGTACAGTAACTACATAAAGGAAACTTCACTAAAGCTCTAAAGCTGAAGCCTAATGTGTACAATATGTACATGTACATTCACTTGTTGATTGTTTTGAGTAGATATAGCATATGAATATGATGTTACAATATGATTTCATTAAAAAGAATCACTTACAACAGCTCTCACATATCACATATCACCACATTATACCTTACTATTTACTGGAACTCTATAGCCTTTCCCTCTGTACTAATAATACACGCTGGTAACAAGAGTATGGTGTTTATTTCTTATTAAATTTCCTTGCAATTATCTCTCGTAGTAAGATCTTGTAGTACATCGCCCGTTACTTGTGGTCACGGCCTAATTGAGTTGTAGCTTGTTTGCTATTGAAAGGCTTTTGACCACTGGTTTTCACTTGAATGGCTGGTTTACTCATCCAGACTTCTTTTAATTGTAATATTATTGTTCGTTTGTCATTAATCTTTATCTTTTGATTTTGTTTGTGTTAACTGATGACTGGAAATGATGAGCTGTATAGTTTCATTATGATGTCATGGAGAGAAAGAGATAGGGGGGAGAGAGAGAGAGAGAGAGACAGAGACAGAGAGACAGAGAGAGAGACAGAGACAGAGACAGAGACAGAGAGGGAGAGACAGAGAGGGAGAGACAGAGAGGGAGAGAGGGAGGGAGACAGAGAGAGAGAGAGAGACAGAGAGGGAGAGATAGAAATGACCAAGAAAGAGAGGTCGGAAAGAGGTGGAATGACAAAAACAAGACAAAGAAGGCCAGCATTATTGCATTTCTTTCATACCTCTGTATCAAACTTTGCCTACAGCTACTTAACTTTGGGCCTGAACAACCCTTCCAGTATATACACACATATCTTAGTTCACCTTATATTCAATGAGAGCCTTATTTTAGTCATATTTATCCTGTCTTGTCTCTTCTTTGTTTACACTCTCTCCGTTTCTTATTCCTATTACGTCAGCTGACACTTGTGTTGT